AAAAAAAGAAAAGTTTTAACTTTAGGAGTTCTGCATAGAGCATATTAGAGGATTAGAAGATGGAGACAAATGTCAGCACCCCTCTCCTTGGACATCTTGTGCAAAACATTACCTATTCACTTTTTGTCACTAATGTGCAATATTCTTCTCTCTTACTGTGCAATAACACATGCCAACTATGGTGTAGCCTGTGTAATTTTTTACTTATTTAAGGTCAGTGCATCTCTGCACAACCCTAACCCTAACACAAGTCAACTACTGTGTGGTCTTCCCTTAGCTCTCTACTGCGCAAAGAGAAACATATTCCAGGACATTACAACTTTTTTCTTTTTGTTATGCTTTTTTATGCTATATATACTCTTTTTATACTCTGTGGTATTTTTTATCTTTAATGGCCTCTTGCTTTAACCCGTTCTACTCTATATAAGCTAATGGAAGCAGAATTCCCCTGAAGGAGTTATCCCAAGTGATAAAGTTAACGAAAAAGTGATGATTTTGATCTTAACCCTATAATGCCAAATGTATCATATTTGATACAAACGGTTTCTGAAATTTTTTGCGTCTGACACCTTTTGCATAATTTAATGGCTCCAAATCCTATTGTACACAATCAGATATACCTGATAACAGAGGGCAGAAGACTACACAAAAAATAATCTTGACTTATCGCATAGTAATAAATTATTAATATAAAAAAAAATTCTGTTTTTTCTTTTTACATATTTTGTTAAAAGGCCAAATAAGGACTTCAAACCAAAGAAAAGTAATTTTCTGTTTTGTTTTATTCTTGGATCGGGCTTTAAAGGGTTGAATGCAAAATATTTATATATATTTTTAGAATTTTCATATAACTACAGCTCTAAGTGGGTCGCTCTGTCAGCTAAAGGTATGTTTTAGTCTCTTACTTTAGTGAATTATTAATCTACCATTAAATTAGTTGACGGCTATTTAACTAATCAATTAAGCACGAATATTCCTATGAATTTTTAGATTAAACTGAACAACTTCGGCAAAATTTTTTATTTTTATTTAAACTAAAATCCCTCTGAGATCAGGCAGCTTTTCTTCCTCTAAATCAAAACTCAGAGCTTCATATTCAGGACATTATTGTTTCCTTAACACTGAAATCAGCTCTAACAACCCGAATAAAGGCTTTGAAATAGATTTAACTCAGCTACGTTTTATTCAGGGTTATTAAACACGAAAAAAAGGCGACACATGTTAGCATTTCAGTTTTAAAAAATCCACAAAATCTCAATTGTATAAAGATTACTAAACTAACTAAAAGCTCTCAGCAGTAAAGGACATTAAAGGTCGTCACCTTTGCTTTGTCTTTTTTAGTCTTTTTTAACTAAGTAACACAAGTCGCTGCTGGTCCTGTTAGGGCGCCGTGTTTCTCCTGTTCTCGCCGTAATCTTAGCATGTTTCTCGAGTGTCTAATCTCCTCTGAGAGCCGCCCGGTCTAAATAAATAACTACTGACCACAGCCTTCAGTTCAGCTCCGAAGAAAGCTGAACGATGTAGAGTTATGATCACATTACGCCACTCTTACACTTTATTCATCATGCTTACTGGGAGCATGCTCGCTCTAATGTCCGCCTATAAAGCTCCAACAAGTCTTGCAGTAAAGGGCAACTAGAAAATAAATATCCGACTCAATGATCATTTCTTATTCCTACAAAGCTGGAGTATTAAGTAAAGTGGGGCTAAGCAGGATTAATCAAGAAAAGCCTTAATTCAAATGAATGATTTTTTTAAGTGAAGCAGAATCGCTGGCTTTACTTTAAAGCCCTCGATCCACTTCAGTGCCTCTTTGATCAGATGGAGTTTCACCTTCATGCTGGTTACCTTTGCGTTTTCATCCCGGAGATCAAAGGTCAGCTCCAGGTTGGTGAAGAAGTGGTCGGCGAACTCTGGGTACATGTCCAGCACCTCCAGGATCTCCTCCCTCTGAATGGTGTGTAGGTCGCAGTAACTCAGCGCCCGTACGTCAGCGCAGGACTTCCCCGGCTTGGAAAACAGGTGGATCATCTCGCCAAAGATGTCGTTTTTACCTAAAGGTGAACGCAGAGGGATGATGGAAAATTTAAATCCTGAGGAGAAGCATGGACAGGAGGAAGGATCTTTCCTGGTTTGCTGTGGCTAAAGCCACCGCACTCTGGTTTCACCCAAAGTGATCACATCCTGTCATCTGATAGGTCACGCCATGTGGCTGCCACCATCATTTGGATGCAAATCATGGTGATGGTTGAGGAAAGAAGGACGGATGTGGTCAAAGCGCTGCACGGATGTACCGACGTCTGGATCCTACCAAAACCCTCGACACACATTTCATTTATTAGAACATTGTAGTAAAAAAACTAAAGCAGAATCCAAATTCCTTAAAAAGGAAAACTAAGAACACAGCCGCCGGTTTTATGAGAGGAGGGAAAAGGAGAGCAAATGAGATATAGTCTAATTATACTTGAAAGATGTCAATGGAAATATATGCTTCGGTTGCGACTGTGGTCACGCTCGGCATCGCAGTGCAGAGACGACCACACAAAACCTTTAATCTTCTGTCATTTTACCTTCTCTCTTCATCGATTCTTCCTCTAGCTTCTATTTTTATCACTTTCTCTCTGCTCTTTGTTCCCATTTCTAAACACACTGTATCTTCTGTAACTTTGGTTCCATTATGTGTCCGCCCACACCCCTCTATTCTTCGCTGCATCTTGGGAAACTTTACACAAAATAGCAGCAGACGCAGTCATATTGCAGCACAGCACGCCATCAGTACTTTAGCACTAGAAGAAGGGAGTTCAAAGCTAAGCAGGCTGCACTGATGGGACCGTCAGTTGGACCGCTTCCTGCTTCTTTTGATGTGTCCCAGTGACTCATTAATAAGGCTAATTAGAAATCATACGCAGTTCTGCTTTCATTTATGCATTACGAGGATGTGTAGCTGACCGAGGCCTCACTCAGCTGCTAAGTAGAGGACTGAAGCTCCCAACATGACTTCAAACCATGGCTTTCGGTAGAGAAACACATCAGCTACCCTCTGTTACCCGTACAGAGTCACCGCCATGGACAGACAGCGGTAGAAATACACGGTCATTAGCAGGCTCGGACTGGGAACCATTTTTGGCTGTCGCACTTCTCCATCTACACCTGCCCACTGGTGTAGATATATACCGTAAATCCTCTAATATAGGACAGGGCCTTTATTTCACTCAGGTGCATCTTGGTTCAGGCCATTATTAGAAGGAGGCCAGAATTAGAGGCAGGCCTCTATTTCTATTTGATCAAAACAGACTAGCAGTGGAATGAATAAAAACGAGATTTTGTGTCTCTTTGAACCTATGTGTATATACATATATATATATATATACACACGTAGGTATATATTAGGGATGAGATTTATGAAAACCGTCAGAACCGTTCGGTTCGACTGTCTCGGTTCGGTTCGCGTGTGTTTCGTTCGGTTCATGCGCTGCTCCTTTTTCTCATAGGGGAAGCGTTTACACTCCAGAGCAGAAGGTGGCGCTACAGCGACCAAAGCCAACCACCAGTAGTAAACAAGAAGAAGAAGAAGCGAAGCAGCTTAGCCGAGTGTAGCAGGGAAAAAAATCAGTTGTTGTGGAGAATTGTGTGGGTATGGCGAGTGGGAAAGAACAGGAGATGGAAGACGCGCCAGCAGCACTTTATAGGTCTGCTGTATGGGACCACTTTGCATTTAGAGTGACCTACGATGACGGCGGAAAGAAAGTTGTGGATAAAAGTGCAACAGTTTGCAAGCATTGTGCAACACATTTTGTTTATGCTAACCCAGAAATCCCTCATACTCCGTCAGCGCTCCGCCCCGCTGCGCTCCAGACCGGCTGCTCAAAGCAAAGCCTGCAGCCTCCACTGTGGCTTCGTCCGCTCCCCTTTGAGTCCCTTGGAGATGGTAGAGAGCATGCGCGAGATGATTAAATTCAAAGCAGCAAAACATACAGAAATGATCCAGGGTTTCCGCGGATCATTTAAAATAATTACAATCCATTATTTTTGGGGGGATTTTTTCATTAATTTCATAAATTTTTATGGGATTTTGGTGTAACAATTAACATATACCGAATCGAACCGAAAACCGTGACCACGAAACCGTGAATCGAACCGTTCCACCCCTAGTGTGTGTATATATATATATATATATATATATATATATATATATATATATATACACACACATACATACATACATACATAGACATTAAACTGCATTAAATATCCACCAAAATGCGCTCATCTTCATGAGTATCTTTTGCATTAATCAGCTTTCAATTCCGCTCTCAGACCTGATCTCCCCTCTGCTCTGGAGCAGCAGGACTCTATAAGGAATCCCTGTGGAGGTCTGAGACTATTGAGGTAAGCAGTGAGAAAGTAGAGCCCTGACCGGATAACAAGCCAAAATACGTCACTTCCAGGGCAAAAAAAATGATATATTATCCGTTTTCTCTTTTGGTTCAATAAATGGAAAACAAAAATACTTGTGTTTGTTTTTTTTTCCATGTTTGGTTTAAAAAAAAAACAAAAAAACAAACTACCTTAGCATACACAGACCTGTGATACCGGTCTGTTGCACACAAAACTTGCATAAACACTCTGCTAAAGCACGACTCCATCTTGGCGTAAGCTTAGCTCCATGTCTCCGCCTGCTCGCTGCCTTGTTGGTGCGCCTTCCACCTGCTTCTTGCTCTTTCAGCATCAAGTGCTTGCTCTGCTGTCTCTGCCCCCCTTATGTAATAAACTATATGACTGAACACCATCTACCAAGTGTGAAAAATGCCTTTATTTAAATTTGGGGATCATATTTCTTTCAGCTCCTGAGATATAAATGAAAAAATTTCTTCAATTTCAACCAAATTAATCTTTATGTTATATTATAACTAAAATAAATTAATTACTTTCTTTGTATAAAGAACTAGATAAAAAGGCATATAGACTTATTCCTCAATTTCTATCCATCCTCTTAGGATATAAATGTGTTATTTTACTGTCATAATAATAATTTGTGTTCCCTTTTAATATTTTTCCATTTTACTGAACATGTTTTCAATAAAGATCTGAATTGTGCTGAAATTTTAAAGACACACTTGGAGTTTACCAGTGTAACTTCTTTTATCAAGCCTGTAAAAATCTAATTGGATGTGATGGGTGAAGCTGTTTTAACTATTGGTTTAGTTTATGTTTAGAGTTAAAATACCTATCAATCCTTTCCACAGTTCTGTAATGCACCGGCCTGAATAAAGCAAAGAAATGACCATCCTTGGTCAATCTATTTGCCATAATGGAAGTAAAAGCTTTTCCAACTACTGTAAATAAGTGTTTTTATAGGGAATTTATTGGTAAATATTTCAATATTTAATGAAAAAAAAGGGGAAATACTGGAATTGTGAAAATATTCTACATATAAAGAATATCTGTTTATTTTCTTCCTGAATTATGCATCAAATATTACCCAAACCTGAATATTTACTTTAATATATAAAAATTACTAGTAAACTGTTATTCAGCTGTTATATTGATCTATTTCTAAAACAATATATATATTCATGCAGAATGTGAGAAAACGATATGAACCCATTACTTTTATATAGAATCAGTAAGAATGAAAAACTTCTTTCATCACTTGATGTTAGCTTTATGCAGGAAAATCCAACTGAGAGCAAACTAATCAAGCTAAGCTACTGGTGAACTCACCCAAGATGGCCACCACAATGTCGTCCTTCAGGATCTCGATGGAACCCCGGGACACAAAGTAGAGCGCTGTGAGCACGTCCCCGCTGTGGACCAGCGTGTCTCCAGGAGGAGCATGGGTGGTCTTGAACCTCATGGCCAGGGCCCGGAGGCAGCCCTTAGTTGCTCCTTGAAACGCCTTACACTCCTGGAGGAGGCTCTTGTTAAGGTGGAGGCAGATATCAGCCTGTAGGCACTCTGGGAAACCCTTCAGAACCTGAGAAGGAATTACAGGTCAAAGCAAACATGAATGGTTTTGGAAGGTTCATAAAAACCGAGTTCTTTTGCTTTAAGTTAATGTTGCATGTCAATTTCCAGAGAATTTTACTATAATTGCCGCTTTTGTTCTTCCCTTCTTCTCAAAAACTAAACCAAACAGTGAAAAACAAAAACAAAAAGTGGGACGAAGCTGAATCCTCAGCTATAATCAGCAGCACAGGTTGCATGATGGAAGTTAACACCTTCATGTTCAGTGCCACCTTTCCACCTATAGTCACCTTACAACAAACTGACTTTAATCTAATTGTGGGTTTTTCTTTATTTCTTTTAAATTGATGAAAATCTGAAACAAAAAAAAAAACAAAAGATGTGTTTGTGATGTGATAAAACCTGAAAATCTTCACTACAGTCTTTACATCTCTAAGAAAACTATTCTAATAGACTGTGAATAATGTGTTTTTGTTGCCTATCTGGTGCTGTAAAGCAATAACTCAACACTTACCAGTTAAAGACAAAATGTAAGTGAACACAAAGCAACTAATGTTCCACGGACAGCTTGAACTGACTGTAAATAAGCACCACATTGTCAGACACTGGAAGGCAACACGTAAGTGACAGTTCAAATGAGTCTTATCTTTATTATCATTATTTAAAATGAAGACGAAGAGAGCAAAGGAGATGTTGCCTGAGTCTGAATCTTTTTTTTTTTTGCTCGTTACCAAAACAAAAACAAAAACAAAAAAAAAAGCTTTAGATTTGAAAAAGAAAGACTGAACAACATTTGGCGAGCGCAGGTGCCACCGCAGCGTTCACGGCCAAGTCTCCCACAGTGGGAGGGAAACCTGGCAGTGGACGGCGAGGCAGTGCCCACTCTAACAGGAATGACTCACTCCGTCTCTGGTACCCAATGGATATCATGGGGTTGTGGTTGGATACACAGATTTCATGCAAAACCAGACCTCCTTTAGGCCGCATGCAAGCCTATCAGTGATAGACTTATTAGTTGGTCTATTTCAGACCATCACCATTGGGTTTTAAAAACAGAAACATGCTTTAATCAGATGCTGCAAACAGTAAAATATACATCGAAAGCTGTGTTTCGACTTTTTCCTGCCATGATCCTCACCTTAAAACTACTTTGCATCCCCTAGTCCTGCGGCAGAAGATGTTCTGCAGTGTGTTCGCATTAGTCTTAACATATTTAACTTTAACAATTAAAGAATTGTCATTGAACGTTCTAACATTTTAACATTGAACATTTTAAATAAATGAAACTAGATAAGTAATTCTAGGGCTGGGACTTTAATACGTTAATTTTGATTAACTGATTAGAAACATTTTAAAGCATTAAAAGTAATAAGTTAGTTTTTTTTCTTGAGTTTTTATGGCACTAGTGGCTCGTTTTTTGGACAGTAGGCTGGCAGGAAAGGGGAGAGACATACGGCAAACGACCACAGGTCGGATTCGAACCCGGGTCGGCCGCATCGAGGACTAAGGCCACGACGCCAGCTGCACGCCCAGAAATAACCTAATTAATAGCATCTTTTTTTTTTTTATACATACTAAAATCCAAAGCAGAAACCTTTGTTCCCGTTGTTTCTTATACACCAGCTAATGTGAGGCATAAGTGGCATTGCAGGAGCTGGTCCAATGGGGATATTAAAGCTTAAAAAGCATCATGGCTCGATCCAAACACCTCAAATCGATATGGATGTCTAAGAAACAACGGAAGTGTCTCTTCCATCATAAATGCTGGCAGTTAGGAAGAAAATGCACCCAAGACATCGATTTTTTTTATGTTAATAACTGGCTTAATGAGAAACAGTCGCCTCACTGGTAAATGTTTTAATTGCAGTAAATGTTGCGTATTGAATAGCAAGTGTTAAGCAACGCTTTACGCAGACGTCAACTCTCAGTTATGTCTGTATAGAACTGAAACATTCTTTTTTTGTGTATTTTTTACAGGCTGTATTTTATATCTAGTTGCTTTATATATATATATATATATATTTTTTACCGTATCTATGGTAAAGAATTGTCCACACTCCTATAGAAGTACTTTGCATAAAATATCAGTATTTCTCTAATAAGCTAAAAAATAACTTTCAACCAATCCGATGGTAAAACAACCTAAATAATCTATAAGATACAAAAAATATGTGTTACGATGCTCATAATTGGAGAGCAAGAAAAGTTTTTTTGAATTAAAAAGTTTCATTTAATAATAATAATAATTGAACTTTTTTGAACTCACAATGGAGAAATGTACCTCTACATTCAAACATCCCCTTGGGTAACAGTGGGCCACCATTGTGTGGCGCCCGGGGAGCAGTTTGGGGTTAAGACCCTTTTTTCAACCCCATTAAAAGCAAACTGCATCTGCCAAAATAAAAGCCTTTTTTATGCAATTTACTATAGATATTTTACTCACTCGTGTGTCAGATTGTAAAAATCAAGTATTTGAGAAAATATAATATCAAACTGATGATTTATTATCCTAAAAACTCATCATATGTGATACAATTGGTATTAAAGGATTAAAACTGCTCCAAACTTAGTGAAAATATATAATTAGATTAGATTTAAGATTAAATTAAACTTTATTGTCATTGCACAGGTACAAGGCAACGAATATAATATATAATATATATAATATAACAGATATTAAGTGAGTAATGATGATAAATACTGTATTACATGGTTCTGTAATGTGGTTACACTCTAAAACATTAGTGAAATCATTGCTAATTTGATCGTTATAGTTTTAAAGATTAAAATATCCCTGAGATCACAGAACATTTTTTGGTGATAAAATATTATGTTTACTTATCATATTACTCACAATTGGTTTAAATGTCAGCGCTGTAAGAGGTCAGGAAAAAAATCCCAGTTTTTCTGAATAGAACTTTGATGATTGGCTCATAATACGCGACCAATCAAAATGCTTGGGCGCCATCGAGGACTCTCCCTTAAAGGTTTAGTGTGCATTAGAAGCTCTGCTTACCTACAATTAAAAAATACTACCATACTAATCTTTTTGGCTCAGTGTCGTTACCAGTGTTGTATAAAGTACTGAAATCCCAGAGTCAATTAAAAGTATAAGTACCTCTCCAAAATATTACTTTGGTAAAAGTCCAAGTAACTGACTGAAATGTTACTTGAGTAAAAGTCTTAAAGTATCGGAAATGGCTTGTACTTAAGTAGAAGAATTACTGTAAAAATAGATGTACTCAAGTAATGTAGTGAAAAGTATAAATAAAAAGTAGTGCAGTTTGAATGACATTTTTTAACGTTTTGGTAAACTTTGAAGGTTAAATTCACTTAAAATATTATAAACAACCAAGTGTAGGATAAATTTAGACTGGCTTTGCGAAAAAGGCGTATCCTATTGGTGTTGATGAACAAGCTCAGGCAAGACCTGACTTTGTAGTCAGTAGGTGGGGTCAAAACATTTGCGTTTCTCTCGCTCTCTCGCTCGTTTTTTACTCCGATACATTTAGATACATGTTTGGTATCTAAATGTATCGGAGTAAAAGTAGCATGCAAAAGTGAAAGTTCTCAAAAAAAAAAAAGTATACTCTTGGAAAGTATAAAGTACTCCAAAATATACTTAAGTACAGTAGTGAAGTATTTTTACTTTGTTACTATACAACACTGGTCATTACACTGCAATGACTTTCAGTCGAAACGCACCTCAGTTTATGAGAAAGAAGTAACATAAATATTTCAGGACCATGCATATGTGGGACAACAATGAAAAATGCCTCAAAACAATAAAAAAAAAAACCCTTGAAGCATTCCGCTACTACTGTGACACACAGCTAGATGAAGCTCTACTACTGAAGGACATTGAGAAAAACATTAGGTGAGTTGCACATGTACCTCCTGCTCTTACCAGAATGGCGGGGTCATTCCATTTGACATGGCAGACATGGAAGAGACAAACTTATATAAGTACCGAGAGCATTATCATGGTAAGCAAAGCCCCAGTTACTGTCTGCATCCAAAGTAACTGTGACTGAACAGATGAAAACATTACACTATGCCAGGGGCATAGCTAGGCAGCGTCACACTGAGCTGGTAAGAGCATTGTTCAGGACAGGATAGCTGACATTCAGCAAAAAAAATGGTGCTCGTAACACCCAACTCACAAATGATACTAGAGGAGAGAGAAGGAAGAGCGGGAAGCAAAAACAAACTCAGTTCTTTGTGTATTAAACGTTAAAAAAAAACACCCCAAAACACTCCAACTCCTACCATATTCATGTCGATGCCGTTGGTGTACGTCCAAGCGTGTTGGAAGTACTCCTCCAGCCTCTGTCTGAGGGGGTTGGGGATCTGATGGAAGCGGATGAATTCTTTGACTCGCAGCATCTGGAGGTGATACCTGGCCGTGCTCGAGTACAACCTCTGGATGATGGCCGACACGTTCCCGAAGATGCTGGCGTACATCAGAGCTGGCGAAATGGAACACAGCTGGGTGTTGGATACGGCCGGCTTAGGAACGAAAGTTCAGAAAACGGCGTGGCCACTTACATCCGATGAGCATGACGCAGATGGAGAAGATCTTCTCAGAGTTGGTGTTGGGGGAGACGTTTCCAAAACCCACGCTGGTCAGACTACTGAAGGTGAAGTAAAGAGCTGTCACGTACTTATCTTTGATAGACGGGCCTGAGCTGGGGTCGCTGTAGTTGTATTTCTTCCCTTGTTGAAAAAAATAAAGGATATTAATGTAATTGTGTGTTATAATCATGCGTGGCGTCATCAGATTTGGTCATCAGAAGGTACCTATGGAAACTCCGAGGTTGTCCAGCCAGCCGATCTTATGCTCTAGGTAAGGCTTCTCCACGTTGCCGATTGCATACCAGATGCAGGCTAACCAGTGGGCGATAAGGGCAAATATACACATGAGCAGCATGAGAACAGCAGCACCGTACTCAGAGTAGCGGTCCAGCTTACGAGCGACTCGCACCAGGCGTAGCAAACGGGCTGTCTTCAGCAGGCCGATCAGGGTGGTGGTCTGCGAAAGAACAGAGACAGGATTAAGACACATCTCAGAAAGTGAAACCGGTATAAATTCCTCACAGGGAGTGAAATATTTCAACCTTCTAATGGTCTTTATAGGAAATTAAATCCCAAATCAGCAACTGTAATCCTGATTATTACACTAGGTCAGTAGAAAGGGTGATTTTAACAATGGT